GGTACCCAATAAATACCTGGTGAAGGAATGGCAATCATAACCTTTCAGAATATTTTTCTTTTCATACATTAACTTTTGCTCATATTAACAACATTAAATGTTTTGACAAAAAAAGAAAAAATTTCTGTAACAAGCAAACTGAAATAGTGTATTTTTAAAGCAGTATTTGCTTGCCAGAGTTTCAAAGCTAGAGTAATGGGATTTGATGAGTGGGAATGAATGATTAAAGATACATTCTGCAAGGAAAAGCAGTCAGAACCACGTTAGTCACTTACAGAATTGCATTTTATATTTTAAATGAACCCTCTTATCACCAACTTGACTACCTGTATTTAATAGATCCTTATTATCTTTTTGTATTATTTATTTGTATGAGAAAATCTTTAATGGCACAAGGATTAGAGGATTGAGAAAAGGAGGGGAACTGCTTTGACAGTTTCATTTGTCAGAAAGAGGAGATGTGCTTTCATTCTGTTTTTTTCTGTCCACAAATGCCAGTAACCACACACTAAAATCACCCGAGTCATGATCTTATGAAGCTAATCTTGCTTGTTCCGGGGATTAGAAAAATTAGAAAATATGCCTTTAACGTAAGGTTGTTTTTATTTAAACATAAACATATATATGTAAATATTGATATTCAATAGAAGAAAACTAAAACTATGGAATATTTGAATAAGAGAATAAAAACAGTTAAATTTCTAAGCAAAAAGAAAGCGAGATGTTAATACAAATACATTGGAAATGGGTTGGAACCACTGTACTGAAAACTTTGGGTTCTGACAAGGTGTCGGTTTGTAATCCCAGCAAATAAAAGACTGTGGTTTTCATGGTAACATACAGAAAACTTTTCTCCGAAGGTAGCATTAAGATCTAGACTGATAACTTCAGAAATAATGTCATAAGCACCCAACAAAAAATACCAGAATGCATTAAATTTCTGAAAACATTGCCAGAGACTTGTTGGAGGACGGTATTGATTTACACAATAAAATAGAATCAATAACTAATTAGAATTCTCTATGATTTATGTCACAAATATTAATTTCCAGTTAAGGGTTTCAAATGCCTTATTGATTACGATGAACTGTTTATTTATATGATCTTGTTGGCAAGGTAAAATTTACCTTCTAACCTTCCAGGTTCTTTGGCTGGTCTAATAATTAAATTGACATTCGATTAACAGGAGAAAAACAATTTGTTACATATACACGGGAGTCCCCTGAGAGCCAGAGGCAAGTCTGGCAACCGAGGCTTATATGGCATATCCTGAGCTCAGGGAAGGGACAGGGGCCTGGGGCTTCCAAGGGGAGGAAGGTGAGTCACAGGACCATAAGAAGAGCAGATGTTTGGTAATTAACTGTTTGCCCTGCCACACTGATCGGTCATTCAGATAGAGTTATCTCTGTGTCTGAGCCAGGCCCCCTGTCGGAATTCTTTTAGGCAATTAAGTGAGAGGTTAAAGCTCTTCCTGAGTCTTTTGGACCTTGACTGTCTTCAGCTCAAAATAATCCGCACGCCAAAGTGGCACATTTTGGGGAGGCTCATTCCGAACCCCTTCAATCTCAATGTCACATTCTTCTTTGGTCGTTAGTTGTTGTTTTTATGTAACAAAAAATACGCATTGATTAGGGTAATTACTGTAAGTCAGATAAATATAGAATATGCTCAATGTAGGGTACATTTCACTCTACTGTACATTTATTTTTGTGTTGCATGCTGCTTAGAGCGATACATTCTGCCATTTTATATACCCCTCATATTATGGTTATATCATATAGATAGAGACACAGATAGATAAATAGATTGTAGGTAGGTAGACAATATATAGGTCAATATAGATATAAATTTGTTAGTGATACTTTGACAATGATTTGTTTTGTTCTCCTTTTGTTCTGCTGAGAGAGGTGGAGGGGCAGAGCCTTTGACCATGGTTTTTACTGGGGTGTAATCTCCTCAGGCTCTGCCCTCATGGAATTAGGGCAGAATAAAACTACTGAATCAAAAAATCAAAATAGAAACCACCTCATCACCCCTTCACGCACAGGTGCATTTTTTTCACTAAACTACATTTAAAAGTGTGGTTATTTTGCATCTCACTCCCTCAGTTGTGCTCCTTGAAGTGGCATCACCTCTTCTTTCCAAAGAGGAGAACATAGTCAAGCAACTATCATCATTGATCTTCCAGAGTCAAAGGAAAACTCTGGCGTTGGTGGGTGATATATCATCAAGTAAACTGCAGGTAGCATTGAGGAATAAAAATCCGTCGTTAGAATTTTTTCACCATACTGTTAACATTCTAACTGTGAAGCTGAGATCAATATGAATTAAATTCAACAGGCTTTCATTCAGAAGGTAAAGGGGGAAAGTTTTATATGCTTAAAGTTTAATAGATTGGAATTCATTAATAAGCAGCACACGTACTGGAACGGAAAACAAATTCCTGGTGTGAAAACAAATCCATTACATATAAAGACTTACCTATAACTTCAATTGCCGGTCACCCTCAAAACTGCACTTTACTTGGTTTTACTGTATTCACTTCTGTCATCCAGTCTATAACCATAGAGGCAATATACACTGTGAAAGATTGATGTATCAATACTGACATCCTGCGTTTTGTTTGCTCTGATGTTTGGAAGAAAGGTGCAATATCAGATCTCTCCATGGTACTCCCAGGACAGCGCTCTGAGAGTATGAGCTGTTACGGTTTCCCCAGTGTGCTCTAGCTCTCTGGAGTCAAAAAGATTGAAAACCAGAATGATTCCTCTTTAATAAGTACACACTAGCTAAGTACGAGGCAGCTGCTGTTTAAAATCTCTATCCCTAAATGGCTGTGATGGGTTATGTCACCTCTTCCTGGAGAAGTCGTTAATAAAGACTTTTCCTTTTCTTGATTTTTACCAGGTAATCGGGATGACTGATTTGTATTAGAAAGTAATTTTTTATTTATGTCTCTCTAACTTCTGCATTTATGAAAAACATTTGTGTCAAAACACATTCTAGGGCTTCCCTGGTGGTGCAGTGGTTGAGAGTCCACCTGCCGATGCAGGGGACGTGGGTTCGTGCCCCCGTCCGGGAAGATCCCACATGCCGCGGAGAGGCTGGGCCCGTGAGCCATGGCCGCTGAGCCTGCGCGTCCGGAGCCTGTGCTCCTGCAACGGGAGAGGCCACAACAGTGAGAGGCCCGTGTACCGCAAAACAAACAAACAAACACATTCTAGAGATGTTATCTCTAGACTTAGGGAAACATAAACTGTTAAAGGGTAGGAAACATGATCTTGAACTCTTGACTCAAAAGTGAATGCTCAAAACACATCATTTGTTTTACTAGTGATAGAACTGTGGTTTTAGTTCTAAGGTCTTCAGCAGAAGATGTGTTGGGAGGATGAGGAACAGTCAAAAAAAGCAGGAGACAGAAAGAAAGAAGGAGGGGGGTAGGGAGGGAGGAAGGGGAAAGAAAGAAAAGAAAAGAAAGAAAAAGACCACTCAACAGCCAATAAATCGAGAGGCAATTTCAGTAGAGAAGGATGGACTTTATTCAGAAAAGCCGGCAATCTGGGGAGATGGTGGACTCATGTCCAGAGACCAGTTCCCAAGGTTCTGCTCAGCCATGACAGCTTTTAAAGGGAAAAAGGGGAAACCATCTCAGTTAATCATTAAGGCAGGAGGTCAGATTCTTCATCATTTTTTCGCTGTGTGCAGGCCTGCTGACTCCTTCCCATCTTCCTTGGGACGCGTCTTGCCCACGGGGTCTACCTGCCCCCGCAGGGTCCACCCGCAAATTTGCTAAGGGGAAGAAGCTAGGGGTAGAGAGTCAGTCATTCTTTAACTACTTAATTCTTCATTCTTACTCGTTCTCATCCAGGAAAGGGACCAACAGGTTAGGTAAGGTGTTGTGTATATTTAGAAAAGCAGAAACCAGGAGCTATGTTAAATGTTGCCTGATCTCATCTTTATGACTAGGGTCTAAGGAAAACAGGGAAGAAGAAACAGAAAAGGGGCAAAGGAGCTGCTTACAGTAAGGAGGTCAGAGTTTTTCTTACTTAAGGCTCTCACCTTGACTTTTAATTGCCATTCTACTTATTTAGATGATGGACTATAGAGCAGGGTCTTTAAAGTGGGATTTGTGAAGACGACGAGCATTTATTAAAGACGACAAATCAAACTAGTAAAGACCATGGGTGGTACCAAAGCTCGCTCACGGGAGGCACTTGTGAGTCTTCAATGAACTCAAAAATGTATTAGAAAATGCATTATAAAGGATACAAGGAGGGGATGGCGTCGAGACCACTCTTCTCTCTGAGGACAGTTCTCAACCAGTGTCGCAAAAGGAACCACGTCCACTCCATTGTCCCAGCAGCCCTTCTCTGTGCACAGGCTCAGGCCTTTGTTGGCGTGTCTGTTCCTTGCTTTACGATTGTTGATAGTGAACACAGATGCTTACTGCTGCTGGTCTTTCCTTTGGTAGCACAGGAGATACTGTGACATGCTAGGTTTCTGCCTCTCCACCTGATGCTTCCATCCAGGATGAGCTCTTCCACAAGCTACAATGATGAGAAGGGGGGGCATCAAGAATGTGAGCTGGAAATGATCCCCATGCGCCGCCTTATGAGACTGTGTTATCCTTAAACTTTCCCTGATACATTTAATTACTATTTTTTACACAAATCTACATGGGATAGGCTGGGACTCGTTTTTGAACAGCCTGAACAACTTCGCTCTCGGAATTCAGGACGATTGGGGGTGCCGTTTGTAAAGGTGACAACTTTTGGAGTTCTGCTTTCATTAAACTGATTAATATTCAGATGCCAGCTCTGAACTGTCTGCTCCCTCCGCCCGTGGTACATCTGTAATTAGCTCCAGACCCCCAGTGTCAGCACAGCAGCCAACCTGATTACACAGAAGGCATGCTATGTTCACCGAAAGGGCATCTGCTGCTCCAATTTCTCAGAAGGACAGGATGCAAACAGGCAATTAGAATTAGAGATAACCTTTGGAAAACGGTAAATAGAGTTCTGGCGGAGATGAAGGAGGTAAATCAAAGGATTTACTCACTCTTTGCTCAGCTCTGACCCTCTGTCCTTTACTGCCTGTTTAATTTCAAGATCGCATGGTTTTTAGATTGCTTCCATTGAGATCTTCTGTTTAAATTTTCATGATATGATGTTTTCCAAATCGCAAAGTTAATAAAAGCCTCCTGTAGCAAGTAACACACACACACAGAGAAATCTGCACCAGTGGTAAAAAGGAGCTTGCACGTGTTCATGCTCCCATCTTCCCAGGATTTCATCTACATGTTGTCAGGTGAATCAGTCACTGTGGGTCCACAGCAGCCAATACATCCCACGTTGTCCATAAGGCCCGACCCTGCTTCTGGCGATTCGGCAACAAACCTTAAAACATGAGCCGGTTTTTAGAATCAACACTTTGTGTCTATCAAAGCTTCTCTATGAACATGTACTGCGTATCCTTACCTTACGAAGGGGAAGTCAAAGGCAGAAGGTGCCTCCCTGGATATCAGTTTTCAGAGAGGAATGAAACAGTTGCTTCCCCAAGATAGACACCAAGACGATGCTCCAAATATTCTCAGTGTGAAATGTCCCTCATACCCCACAGTTATCATCCATCACTCCCTCTACCAAGCTCCCAGACATTTAGGTACAGCTTTAATATATCAATCTATTTGTTTATAAACCTGTTTCTTCTACTAGGTTCTGAGGTAGCAACTTTTATTTTATGGTGAATCTACATTTTCTTTTTCCTTTTGTTTTTAATGTTGGAATTTTTTTTTTACACAGCAGGTTCTTATTAGTCATCCATTTTATTCACATCAATGTATACATGTCAATCCCAATCTCCCAATTCATCACACCACCACCACCACCCCCTGCCGCTTTCCCCACTTGGTGTCCATACGTTTGTTCTCTACATCTGTGTCTCAACTTCTGCCCTGCAAACCAGTTATCTGTACCATTTTCCTAGGTTCCACATATATGGGTTAATATACGCTATTTGTTTTTCTGACTTACTTCACTCTCTATGACAGTCTCTAGATTCATCAGCGTCTCTGCAAATGACTCTATTTCATTCCTTTTTATGGCTGAGTAATATTCCATTGTATATTTGTACCACAACTTTATCCATTCGTCTGTTGATGGGCATTTAGGTTGCCTTCATGACCTGGCTGTTGTAAATAGTGCTGCAATGAACATTGGGGTGCATGTGTCTTTTTGAATTATGGTTTTCTCTGAGTATATGTGCAGTAGTGGGATTTCTGGGTCATATGGTCATTCTATTTTTAGTTTTTTAAGGAACCTCCATACTGTTCTCCACAGTGGCTGTATCAATTTACATTCCCAGCAACAGTGCAAGAGGGTTTCCTTTTCTCCACACCCTCTCCAGCATTTGTTGTTTGTAGATTTCCTGATGAAGCCCATTCTAACTGGTGTGAGGTCAAATACCTCATTGTAGTTTTGATTTGCATTTCTCTAATAATTAGTGATGTTGAGCAGCTTTTCATGTGCTTCTTGGCCACGTGTATGTCTTCTGTGGAGAAATGTCTGTTTAGGTCTTCTGCCCATTTTGGGATTGGGTTGTTTGTTTTTTTAATATTGAGCTGCATGAGCTGATTCTATATTTTGGAGATTAATCCTTTGCCTGTTGATTCATTTGCAAATATTTTCTCCCATTCTGAGAGTTGTCTTCTCATCTTCTTAGTAGTTTCCTTTGCTTTGCAAAAGCTTTGAAGTTTCATTAGGTCCCATTTGTTTATTTTTGTTTTTATTTACATTATTTACTCTAGGAGGTGGATCAAAAAAGATCTTGCTGTGATTTATGTCAAAGAGTGTTCTTCCTATGTTTTCCTCTAAGAGTTTTATAGTGTCTGGTCTTACATTTAGGTCTCTAATCCCTTTTGAGTTTATTTTTGTGTGTAGTGTTAGGGAGTGTTCTAATTTCATTCTTTTATATGTAGCTGTCCAGTTTTGCCAGCACCACTTATTGAAGAGGCTGTCTTTTCTTCACTGTATATCCTTGCCTCCTTTGACATAGATCAGTTGACCATAGGTGTGTGGGTTTATCTCTGAGCTTTCTCTCCTGTTCCATTGATCTATATTTCTTTTTTGTGCCAGTACCATATTGTCTTGATTACTGTAGCTTTGTAGTATCGTCTGAAGTCAGGGAGCCTGATTCCTCCAGCTCCATTTTTCTTTCTCAAGATTGCTTTGGCAACTCAGGGTCTTTTATGTTTCCATACAAATTGTGAAATTTTTTGTTCTAATTCTGTGAAGAATGGCATTGGTAGTTTGATGGGGAATGCAATGAATCTGTAGATTGCCTTGGGTAATATAGTCATTTTCACAATGTTGATTCTTCCAATCCAAGAACATGGTATATCTCTCCATCAGTTGGTATCATCTTTAATTTCTTTCGTCAGTGTCTTATAGTTTTCTGCATACAGGTCTTTTGTCTCCTCGGGTAGGTTTATTCCTAGGTATTTTATTCTCTTTGCTGCAATGGTAAATGGGAGTGTTTCCTTAATTTCTCTTTCAGATTTTTCATTGTTAGTATATAGGAATGCAAGAGATTTCTGTGCATTAATTTTGTATCCTGCAACTTTACCAAATTCATTGATTAGCTCTAGTGGTTTTCTGGTCGCACCTTTAGGATTCTATATGTATAGTATCATGTCATCTGCAAACAGCGACAGTTTTATTTCTTCTTTTCCAATTTGTATTCGTTTTATTTCTTTCTCTTCTATAATTGCCATGGCTAGGACTTCCAAAACTATGTTGAATAATAGTGGTGAGAGTGGACATTCTTGTCTTGTTCCTGATCTTAGAGGAAATGCTTTCAGTTTTTCACCATTGAGAATGATGTTTGCTGTGGGTTTCTTGTATGTAACCTTTATTATGTTGAGGTAGGTGTCCCTCTATGCCCACTTTCTGGAGGGTTTTTATCATAAATGGGCGTTGAATTTTGTCACAAGCTTTTTCTGCATCTATTGAGATGATCATATGGTTTTTCTTCTTCAATTTGTTAATATGGTGTATCACATTGATTGATTTGCATATATTGAAGAATCCTTGCATCCCTGGGATAAATCCCACTTGATCATGGTGTATGATCCTTTTAATGTGCTGTTGGATTCTGTTTGCTAGTATTTTGTTGAGGATTTTTGCAACTATATTCATCAGTGATATTGGTGTGTAATTTTATTTTTTTGTAGTATCTTTGTCTGGTTTTGGTATCAGGGTGAAGGTGGCCTCATAGAATGAGTTTGGGAGTGTTCCTTCCTCTGCAATTTTTGGAAGACTTTGAGAAGGATGGGTTTTAGCTCTTCTCTAAATGTTTGATAGAATTCACCTGTGAAACCATCTGGTCCTGGACTTTTGTTTGTTGGAAGATTTTTAATCACAGTTTCAATTTCATTACTTGTGATTGTTCTGTTCATATTTTCTATTTCTTCCTGGTGCAGTCTTGGAAGGTTATACCTTTCTAAGAATTTGTCCATTTCTTCCAGGTTGTCCATTTTATTGGCATAGGGTTGCTTGTAGTAGTCTCTTAGGATGCCTTTTATTTCTGCCATGTCTGTTTTAACTTCTTTTTCACTTCCAATTTTATTGATTTGAGTCCTCTCCCTTTTTTTCTTGATGAGTCTGGCTAATGGTTTATGAATTTTGTTTATCTTCTCAAAGAACCAGCTTTTAATTCTATTGATCTTTGCTCTTGTTTTCTTTGTTTCTATTTCACTTATTTCTGCTCTGATTTTTATGATTTCTTTCCTTCTGCTAAGGTTGGGTTTTGTTTGTTCTTTTCTCCAGTCCTTTTAGGTGTAAGGTTAGATTGTTTATTTGAGATGTTTGTTGTTTCTTGAGGTAGGATTGTATTGTTATAAACTGCCCTCTTAGAACTGCTTTTGCTGCATCCAATAGGTTTTGGATTGTCGTGTTTTCATTGTCATTTGTCTCTAGGTATTTTTTGATTTCCTCTTTGATTTCTTCAGTGATCTCTTGGTTATTTAGTAACATATTGTTTAGCCTCCATCTGTCTGTGTTTTTTATGTTTTTTTCCCTGTGACCGATTTCCAATCTCATAGCGTTGTCGTCAGAAAAGATGCTTGATATGATTTCAAGTTTCTTAAATTCACTGAGGCTTGATTTGTGACCCAAGATGTGATCCATCCTGGAGAATGTTCCATGCGCATTTGAGAAGAAAGTGTAATCTTCTGTTTTTGGATGGAATGTCTCATAAATATCAATTAAATCTATCTGGTCTATTGTGTCATTTAAAGCTTGAGTTTCCTTATTAATTTTCTGTTTGGATGATCTGAGGTAGCAACTTTGAATGATTTTTTTTATCCCCATGGCTCTGCTAAATTTGGATGGCTCAGTCATTGTGAAGAGGCTCTATCTGCAGAGGTTAAAATCTGGAGTTTCAGAGTTAAGTAAACCTGAGTTTGAATATTAACTTTACCATTGCTAAGTTGTGTGACTTTGGGCTACTTACTTAATCTTTCTAAGCCTCATATTCTTGATCTCTAAAACGAGGATAATGGTACCTATCACAGCGCTTAAATGAGATCGTCCACATAAGGTATAAAGATTCCATAATTACTAACCATTGTCAATATTAAATTTGCAGTAAGAAGTTTCTTTCCCAGAAAAGGGAAGCATGCTATCATACTACATTTTTTAACATCTTTATTTGAATATAATTGCTTTACAATGGTGTGTTAGTTTCTGCTTTATAACACAGTGAATCAACTATACATATACATATATCCCCACATCTCATCCCTCTTGCATCTCCCTCCCTCCCACCCTCCCTATCCCACCCCTCTAAGTGGTGACAAAGCACTGACCTGATCTCCCTGTGCTGTGCAGCTGCTTCCCACTAGCGATCTAGTTTACATTTGGTAGTGTATATATGTCCATGCCAATCTCTCACTTTGCCCCAGCTAACCCTTCCCCATCCTCAAGTCCATTCTCTAGTAGGTCTGTGTCTTTATTCCCATCCTGCCCCTAGGGTCTTCACGACCATTGGTTTTTTTATTTTTTTAGATTCCATATATATGTGTTAGCATACAGTATTTCTTTTTCTCATTCTGACTTACTTCAGTCGGTATGGCAGACTGTAGGTCCATCCACCTCACTACAAATAACTCAATTTCATTTCTTTTTATGGCTCAGTAATATTCCATTGTATATATGTGCCACATCTTTATCCATTGATCTGTCGATGGACACTTAGGTTGCTTCCATACCCTGGCTACTGTAAATACAGCTGCAATGAATATTGTGGTACATGACTCTTTTTGAATTATGGTTGCCTCCAGGTATATGCGCAGTAGTGGTATTGCTGGGTCGTATGGTAGTTCTATTTTTAATTTTTT